ATGTTTCTACAGTAGCCTATAAAGGACACATCAAATGCTCTAAATCGCCTGTTTCACACAGTTTTTTGCCACAAAATCATAAACTGGAGCTTTAAATTTAAGACTAACAGCATTAAGAATGAAACTAAAGATTTATTTTAGTTCTGACAAAAACAACAACAACAAGGATATGAAGGAAAAATGTATTCCATGTTGTGTTTTTTGCACATTCAACGGCCACCGTACTTTTCCCTTCACACTTGGAAGGGCAGGGTGAAGCGAGGGGGTTGTAATCTGCAACTACACCACTAGATGCCACTAGATCCCTCCCACTGGGACCTTTAATGGAGATTTAGACTTTATAAGAGCCGCCAACACCCTGTGATTTCTCTTTATATAAACACATTATTAGTTAACAGATTGTTGAAAACGTTTCAAAGCCGAAAGGAGCTTTGTGATAAGAATGAGAGGAAGCTGTTCGTATCAGAGCTCGTCTGATCGCAGAGTACGAGCCCAACAGGAAATGAGCCACAAAACCAAAACGAGGAGCTAAAAGAGGCTGAACGTTTGTTGATTTATAGTGTAAAAAGGTTTTCGGGGCTACTGACCGCAGACCTGGATGATGCCGTGTCGAGCGACGTCGTAATACGGGTGAGAAGGATCGGGACTGAAGGTGCCGCTGGGAGGAACCGACGGACCGTCTGTCACCTCCTCATCCTCCTCTTCCTCCCGCTGAAGTTCTGTCAGAATTTAAAGGAATAACAACATTTCAACAACGTGAATGCAGTTTAATGAATGAAGTCTTTAATATTTACAGTTTGTACAGGAAAGCTCAGAGTAAAACAGACTCATATAATCTTTGATTTAAAGGAAAAACATGAGCTGGATCAGAGAGTCCCGCTCTACACACCCAACATTTCCTTATCTGCTCTGTTTAACTGTTCCTAAAATACAGATTATCAGAGAGTGGGTGGAGCGGGTGGAGCGGGTGGATGTTTATTCTGCAGCACTGAGGGAAGTTTTCTATAAACAGTCGGTCTGATAACAGACAGGAAATGATCCGCTCGCAGCGACCTGACTAAAGCTTCAGAGAGCCTCAAACTCTGCTGTGACTTCACTCAGTGAATCAGAAAGTCCCTTTTTACAAAGTGAAAGTAAAACGAGTTCACACTTCACCAGGTCCAATAATATTACCTTAATAATGAAGCTTGTAAAGTTCAGTTCATGTACAAACTGTTTCAGAGAGCTGAGTGTTCAGAAACATATTAGAAGGTTTTAACTGCTCAGTTTTTATGTTTCCACTAAAATAAAATATGTATAAAAAGATCTCCAGCTATTAAAGACTACAGTTATATATATGTCCATATATTTATAGTGAGTGCAGCTCAGGAGCTTCTATAACTGAGTACTGGAACCAGCTCACACTGTGTGAGTGGAAGGTAATAATATAAAGAAATGAGGGGTGATTGGGCAACATCTGTTCCCAGCTCACATCTGTGCACAGCAGGAAGTATCCCGGACTCTTTGAAGGTGAACAAACAAAGCAGGGCAGGAATTAAACCACTGTGGATGCCCCGCAGTGAGGCTGTAATGCCCCCCCCTAAAGTTAACTACCCACACGCTCAGTTTGGCATTGCCCCTGTGTGAACCGGCCGTAAAATTAAAGTAACAAATCACACTGGACATCAACAGCTATGAGTCAGACTAAAGACAACTAAAATAGCTGGAGGCGGGTTTTAGTGAACGCAGCACACACTCCGGTGCAGTTGGGCTCTGGGTGCTTTTGGCCTTTTGTACAGCAGGTGAATTTTTATACAACTTCACACTTTTAAATGATATTAACACTTAAAGTTATGTATAATTAAGGGCCACATCGAGTTCCACCTCTTTGACCTTTTCTGGATCATCTGGGAGCCGACCAGAGCTTCACAACGGCTCCTCAGACGCATCCGGGGGACGTCAGGGAGACTACAGACTGTTTTATTTACAGTCTGAGGGAGGAAGAAAATTATTTCTCTGATTATCAGGAGGTTTTTATAAACTCACCTATCTCTGCCAACTGCTCCAGATCTGATGTCGAGCTCATTTCTGACGGACTGAAAGAAAAACCTGAATCAGTAATCAGCTGGAAATAATAGATTAAAACCTCCAGAGAGTCGCAGTGTTTGTAACATTTACTAGACTCTTTATACTTCTACACTTTATATAAATATATATAAATATATACAGATACTCTTTACTCGACAGCTTCTGCAGATTCTGATTATTAATGCGAAATATACTCCACAAATAAACGATGATGTATTATTACAGACAGACATTAAAACGTTATTGATCCTTTGGTGAAATTCAAATAAATAACTAATAATAATTACAATAACTTACAGTGGAGAACAAACACATTATAGGTTATATTAACCCTAACTATATTCATTAAATTATTGTTCATAATCTTTTATTAAATAGGTTTATGTGAAGAAATAGTTTCTAATTATATTCATATCTTTGTGTTATAAATTATATGTTGTCACATTATTTACAGAAAATTAAAGTGGGCAACTTAATAATTATATTTATTTACTTGAATAAAAAGATATTAAACTCTTTGATTATACAGTTAATTAAATAAAAAATCATTATTAAATTATTATTAAATATATATTGATGTTTTATATTATAACAGATATGATTCACAATTATTGTAGAAATTATAAACAAACAAATTTTCAACTAAAGGAAAAATTTTAAAATCATCAAAAATCATCATTTTGTGGACTTTAATCTGTTAAAATAGATTTTTCAACATAATTAAAGAGTAAAAATCAACCAAAATAAGGTTTTTGTGAAAATGCTCCACAGTGAGTGTTAATGAGCACTTTAATACTTTTTACTTATTTTCTAACTTGTAACTGAGTATTTCTACTTTTACTTCAGTAGCTTCAGTTTCTGATATTTAAAGATAATTAACATATTATACATATACAACTTATTAAATATTAGAATTAAACAACAAAAGTTAACTGACCTTGAAATAAGACTTTAAAAACACCATTTTTAGAAATAAATATTATATTGTGAAGTCTTGCTGCTGCAGTTTGGTGTCAAATTAAACACAATAATTTAGATTAATTTCAATTAATTAAGGTTTTGACCCAATTATCGATGAGTATTTTAACTTTAAGTATATTCTGCTGCTAATATTATTTATTATTTATAGTATTTATACTCTGTGGTATTTAATACTTTCACTTCAGCAGCTACAACTCTTTCAGTTTATGATATTTAAAGCTAATTAACGACCTTATTAAATATAATCATCATTATTATAAAGACAAGTTAATTCAAGTTGAAATAAGCCTTTTAAAGCCTCCATACCGTCACAGAGTTAAACGCCAGCTAACAAACAGGTAAAGAGCTATAATTAGCTTATAAGCAACACCTGAGCTGATTGATTGATCCGTAAAACCTTCGATTATCAGTCGATCAGACGGTTAAATGTAATCGTTTCACCTTCCCGCGCTTGGTACGGGGTTCAGTCCGGTCCAGTGTGGTCGTGAGGAGCAGTGTGAAGCGGTCCAGCACTCACCTGTAGCAGGTAAACCCGCCGAACCGACAGGTAGGAGTTGGTCCTAACTTCCTCAAACAGCTGCCAGCTGGGAAGCGGGCGGCGGCACTGCGCATGCGCTCTGCAAACTTTTTGTACAGAGGCTCCGAGTGACAAAATTAGACTTTAATTTTTTTTTGTTTTAATTTATTCACTCATTTACTTTTAATTTAATTTATTTTAATTATAATATTTTTATTTTATTATATTCTTTTGTATTTTATTATATTATATATTTTTTTATTATATTATATATATATTTATTTTATTATATATTATTGTATTTTATACTCTGTCTTTACTAGGGGGGATCAATAAAGTTACATCTTAATATACCTCATCTTATCAAATATCAATATATGTGATTGTTATTAGTGATTAGATTTTTCTGGGTCTCCTTAATGTCCTTAAAGTATTTTTAAATTCAGGCTGTAGTTCCTTTAAGCTACTTGTGAAAACACACATATATATAAATTAGAAACAAATTTGATTTAAAAAGTCAGAAAAAAAATCAACTAAATTATAGCTATGATATATTTTGTACAGACTAAGCCACCGAACATATATAAATAATATAAAAACATTATTATTTTTTAATACTATTTCCTCTCAAGGTCTCCCGCAGACATGCTTTTCATTTTGTGCTTTACCCCTCCCAAAAAAATTGTTATGTTTTGTAATATAAACTGGTTTAGCAAAAATAGGAATAAAAAAAAGAGCTTCACCTTAAACATCTAAATAAATATAAAAAATATTATAGTAAATATAGTAGATATAATAGTAAAACACTGACAGGGAACATTTTTACTGTAAGAGTACTTTACTTTACATACAGTACCGCTTTTGTCCACAGGGGCCGCCAGAATCAACACAACATATAAACACTTTAAGTAAAGCTCTGAATGCACTATATTAGAGTATTTTTATATTAGTACTTTTAACATTAATTATTTTTCCACTGCTGAGGATGAAGCAGACGACCTGTTCTCAGATGTGAATCCTCTCCCGCTCTGACTGAAGCTCTCTGGTTTTCTGAATAAATCTTTTTCCTCTTCGGTTTCCTGGAACGAGTTTTGTTGTTGTGGTTTTATTATTCTGACTGCGTCTCACCTGCAGTGAACTCGGGTTAAGCCGCTGCTCTGTGAAGCTGAAAATCCTCAATATGAGTCAGTCTGCAGCTTCCTGGATTTAAGGTGGAAAAAGGTGATTTTTTAAAATTAAATCGAGGCTTCTGGGATCCTGTTTATTTTCAGATGGGATTTTTAATTTGTCACAGAATTAATATTTAACAATAAAATCATAGAATAAATAATGGTTTTAGTATTTTAAAAACAAAATGTCTGATGTTGATGGTATTAAAAACATTTCTGAGCATTATTGTGTGTTTACTGTGTTGAAAATGTAATTTTTTTTAATAATAATAATACTACGTTTTATAATAATAACAATAAACTTTATTTAAGTGCCTTACATGGCTGGAACCAGGATTAAAAACATTTCAGGAGGTGAAATAAAAGTGAGAAGAAGTCAAATAGATATAGTAATAGTAGAATAAAAAATAATAACAATAATAACAATAATCGCAAAAGTAACCATTACATTACATGTTATTTAGAATGAATAATATATTTATAGAACATAACTCCAGTGTTTATACACTGTTTAATGAGGAAATGTTACAGATTAGAACTTTAATATGTTTCTATAATTATTGTCTGATATATGTGGATTTTATTACTAACTGGTCAACAACTAATAATAGATCCTGATCCTGTAGGACGCCATCAGCCCGCAGTGTTTTATATTTTAGGATCAGGATGGAAAACCCCAGAAAGAAAATCAAAGGTTTAGTTTCTGGCACAAAATAAACATAATCGGATTTATCTTGAGATGGAAACTCACGAAGAGACAAAATAAAAAGATTAAAAAGAGTTTCCTGTCAGAGGCTCTCAGTAAAGTAAAGTTGTGAAATCCTGACATCTGCTGGCCGGAGTTTGACCACTGCAGCTGATTGACAGCTGATATCTGACTCTGACACCCAGACAGCTGCTTATAGATATTAAATTAAATATGTTATTATGTTATAAATCAGCAGCTCAAACAAAATAAACCTAAAGTGTTTTTAAATGTGATGATTTTAAAAGAGATAAAGAATCCTTCACTCTCTCTCAACTGTGTTTTATTCACTTTATTAATAATGTTTCAGTCTTTAAACACCAAGTGGGACTAATAAGGAGTTATCAAGTATAAATCTGGCTTTTGATTGACTTTATCATATAAATATATTTCTTTAAATTAAATAAAGTAAATCCACAGTGATAAATAAATCAGAAAGGTGTTTTGAAGGACAACGTTGGATTTAAATTTTAATACTAACTCTGTCAAACTCCGGAGAGTCTCCTGTTTCTCGCCTTGTGACGGCTCCCGCTGAGGCGTCGGAGTCAGAAAGACGTCCTGGAGGGAAGATTTACTAGCAAACAAATTTATATGCAAAGCTGGTACTAAACTCTGTGGGGAGGAATTTCAGAGAAAGAGTCTTTGTCTTTTTGGCCGCCAAAGCCATCGGCGGTACAGAGCTGACAGAACAAAGAGGGAGTTACATGAGACGGAAGGGACCCGAATAAAGACATGAATGACACTGAAATCAGAGCAAAGTCAAACAATATAATGTCAGAGGGATTTTCATTGTTAATAAAAAAGGCAATTAAGAAGCAATTAAGCTTCAAAGCTGATCAGGATGTAACTGGGTTTCTAAAACTTTGGCAGCTTCCTTTGGGTCCGTTATCGTAACATCAATTATTATTTTATTATCTCCAGATATCAAACTGTTGTCGTGTCCTCACAACTTCAGATCTTAAGATAACAAGCAGTTCTCAAATATAGATTCTTCTTAATGTTATCTTCAGATATGGGAGTTCCTCAGGGAACGACACTGGCTCCACTGTTGTTTCCCTTTAATGTGTCGGCAGCATCAGTCAGGCAGACACTGCTGGTTAAAGGCGGAGTCCGTCATTCTGGATAACAGATCATTGATTGTTGAGTCTTATCTGACGGCCACAGCGGTTCGGACCGATCAGCTGGCAGCTACGACATTAGCTACAGGAGTGGATTTAACCCTGAGAAGTGACAAAAACAACAATGGCAGCTGCTAATGAGGTTAGCATAGATGCTGCTAGCATCAGTTGTATCAGATCTGGAGAGTTTTTCAATGGTTCATCTGAATACATTTACGGAAATATGAATAAAACATAATTCAAAGTGCTGGCGAGCAACATTTAGCTTCAAGTGTGCTTTAAAAATAATAATATTTACACTGTAAAAACGTTTATTTTACATATTTTTTTAAATACATGGAAATATTAAAGAAATTACAATAATAGTAAATTACAATGACAAAAACATTTCCTTTATTCACATAAAAATATTAAAATATATTTGTAAATCTATATTTTTTTCACAGATATTTACTGTTTATTTAATATATCCAAATGTTAAATTCAAGTTTAATACCGTTAATACATTTCTAAAATTATATAAATCTGTTTTTTACATGGATTTGTTTGTTAACTGACAGATATCTTGTATAATTATGGACGTTTTCGCAACAAAAATGTTGAATAAATGTTGTTTATCAGTGTATAAGCATCAGTAAACTGTCCAAATACAGTGTTTATCAGTGAAAACAGCAATAATTACTGTAATTTCACAGATAATGACTTTTATTACAGTTCTATAACTTTTAAAATTCAGATTTAAATAAGTAAAATCAAATAAAAACAGCACTCTTCTGTAAATTTAAGCCTGATTATTTGTATTATAGCAGTGCTCGCCTGTATTTATAGCTCAGTGCATTGTTTTTACATGTTGCTGGACTATAGTGTATTACAGATTAGTCCACATCCAGTGTTTATCAGCCCACGACAGCAACCACAGTTCCCTCCTATATGGCTCCCTTTATGTACTCATGATAATAAACACAAATGATTTCAGTCCATGAATGAAAACACAGGTTCAAACACACACAAACACACACAAACACACACAAACACACACAAACACACTATGTTGCAGCAGTGGAGGAAAAAGTACTAAAAAGGCGGGTTTTGTTATGGTTTTCTGTGATTATGCAAATTAAGAGAGTACATGGGGAGTATGTGACCCAAATATGGAAGAGAATACTGATGAGCTTAATCACTGGCAGCAGATACTTGACACCTCCACATGCTGTATGACTGGGAATATAACAGGAAGATGGATTATAAATACCCCCTAATCTAAATATAGTCGGAGCAAAATGGAGATTTACTAAATAAACTGACTGTCGGAGGAGCTCCGGGATAGACCTTAGATGTAAATACTAATCTGTGAATTTATTCAACTTAAACATTTATTTCATTGTATTCAATAAATGTCACAGTGAACAAATAACATATAATCTCTTACTTTAACATCTAAAACTGGATATGGGGGCGATTCTGTTCTAAAAAAAGGTTGTTTCACCCAAAACTCGTTAAAAAAACATATTTTCTTGTTTCCTTCTGGAGGTTTGAGGTGATGCAGACGTGAGTGAGAGCGACAGATCAATCCAAACATGGAATTTGTTTGTGTTGCTCAAAATAACAAAGAAAAGGAGGCAGAAAGATATGTAAGTATCCTCCCTCTGCCTGTGTTGTATCGTAGCCTCTCTGTGGTTTGTTT